AAATAAGCTATAAGATAGGCCCCTCTGCCTCAGCTGCTTTTGCCATAATTATCAAGTATTGAACCCTATTCATAAGCACCAATTTGAAGATGACATTTTTGTTTTCATCGGATCACTCATTACAAATTCCTCACTGCATTCGGAAGGGGCCTGCTTTATTTATAATATATGGCCGAGCTCCCCTCTTGAACTTTATTTATTTATTTATTGGGTCAAAGTTACACTTTCTGTTTTTCTTAGGGCAAAATTCACAAATTTGGACTTCAATTAACTAATAAGGACTTCCGATTTTCAATCCATGAAAAATTAAAAAAAGTTCCAGTAACAAGTTTGAATTATAAGACAATTGATTTAAAGTGTAAATTTGCTCTAGAAATTTTCATCCAAACTTGAAAGCTTTTTTTTTTTTTTTGCAAATTTATTTTGAAAGTTTAAAATCATAATAATTTTACTCCTATCATCATTATTTTAACCGTCAATATTTTATACCAAAAGTGTTTATGACTTTGGAATCATGCCATTATCCAAGGGACCAACCAATATAGCTTAAGAAATGCCATCTCTAATTGAAGAAGAAGACGAGAGAAAAGAAATAGGTAACCAACCGATAGCGTGTTATCGAGGTCCACCCACGATGGTGGTCACGCATGCTTTTACTGGTCTATTTATTTCTCGAGTTCAGGCACTTAGCCACCAAGTATACATGGAGCCTACGATCTTCTTTTTTTTTTTTTTTTTTAAAGAAAACATTTTATAGTACCAGGCTTAAAACTATTAAGGTGTTTGGTAACCCTAAAAATACCTTTTAAGAATCATTTTTCCGCAAACGAGACAAACTCCTCCGTATATTTACTTCATAAACCGTAAAGTATTTTTAAAATTATAGTTTAGTTTCTATCTAAACATCCTCTACGTTAGACTTTTGCAATGTAGGGCGACACTATTTAGGAAGGACAACCTTAATTAATTCTTCTAACTTCTTCGTGGTTGATCTTTTCCCAGTGGTGGGCTGGGGGCGTATAAGTGCACTAATTAAAGCGTTTGTAATAAAGCACTGCCCAAACTTTATTTGAAGCTTTGAACTTTTGATTCTCTTGAACAATGATGAGGAGATCATGATAATTTGTTTAATTTAATTAATTCTTAATTACTTTCCCCAGCTGTAAGCCACGCCTTTCCTCCCTTTTATTCTCGTCAAATTAAAGCTTTTAGAATGGTACTAATGTGAGGGGAAAAAATTTATGTAACCCTACTCACAGTCATATCAAGTTAAGAAATTGCTTCATATGATAATATCTCATATATCACCATTAAAATTTCTCACATAAAAAAATTAAAAAAATAATTTGATTGTCATTTTCCTTACAGCTCCTCCCGGAGTCTTTTCCTTAGAAGTGGCTGCCAAATAAATATTCCTCCAATCATAAATATAAGACTTATTTATAGTGTAATTTACACTATAAAATAGGTCTTATATTTAGAATTTACACTACAAAATGGGTTTTATATTTAGAACCGGAAGAGTACATTATAAAATAGATCTTATATTTAGGATTGGAGGAATACTATACTTGATATTCTTCTACATAAACTTCACAAGGTTATGCTTTTCTTTTTTTTTCAAAGAATATCAATTTTTTATTGTTTTGTGAATGGCATGAAATATCACCCAAAGTGATATTATCACATGGCTCTAGAAATCTCAGAAAAGACATTTTAAAATGATAAATAAAGTATATAAATAAGTAGAAAATATTTCTAAATGCGAGCCCAGTCAGTTAATATATTATATATTCATCACTCACTTAATTTAAATACTATATTCTAATATCACTAACATTGGAAAGCCTGAAAACTAGGATACCTGAAGAGAAAAGGGTGAACATAATTATGACCATATTATCAAGTTAAAGGGATTTTCTTTATTTTTGGACATCTTTGTTATATAACGTTGGTGGGCTATATAGTTTTTACACTTTGCAGCTCTAGCCGCACAGACTACAATGAGGAATGGATTGATGAGAAGAATACAAATTTGAACAATGCCAATTAATTAATTAGACCAAAACAGAAAAAAAGAAAGAAAGAAAACTAATAAAAAGCAGTCAACAAAAGGAAAAGCTGATGGCCAAGTGTATAAACAAAAAGAAAAAGGAAGGCAAAGATGGGGTCTGCCATCACATGTCAGGATATGAAATTTCCAATTTTGTTTTCTTTTCATTTTTCTAATATATATTGCTTTTGATGACTTCTATGATCAGGATTAACAAAGAAAAAATTGTTGGGATCATTTCACAAACAAAATTGGCATCAAAAGCCATGATTAGAACAGTCCTTAGCTTTTTAGACCAAAATACAGAAATATTTTGGATTACAGGTAGATAAAGATGCTCTGATACAGAATCCTAACTGAACAGGGAAACAAATGCATCACAAAAGTCATAATGAAGCTATCATATCCAACAGATAAAGAAGAAAAAGAGAGAATAAAAGGTGATTTAATTGATAAATTGTTATATGAATTATTTTCAATATGATCATATGGATATAAATCTGAATGGGTATGCATATAGAGGGAAGAAACGGTGTAAAGTGCAGAGAAGGTATAACATGACATGGAATAATGAAGTTGATAAAGTTAATGAAACAAATAACAATGTGAAGACATTAATGATTTGCAACGACTTTTTTTGTCTGATCACTAATTGAAAAAGGATTGGGAAAGAAGAAACTATACATAGACACCCTTTCATGACCCACATCACCATGCTGTAAAGTATACTAATCATCCACCATTTTCCACCCCCCTTCCGACACAGTAAGTCCACTTCTCATACTAATCTAAGAAAGGAAAAATAAAAACAGAGAGATAGAAGAGAAGGGCTAAAAAAAAAAAAAAAAGGAACTTGGAGAAGACTAGGCCTCCATGGATGCTAGGTGTTTCAAAAAAAGGGGAAATTAACTAAGTGGCTAAAACAGAGCTTCCATTGATGCTAGACTCTGAGCAAGTATATGCTGAGCTCAGGAGATCCATTGCTGTCTGGATTCATCATGTAGAAAGCTTCAGAATCTCTGGACCCCACAATTCTCTCAAACTTAGCCCTCATGTACATGACTTCACCTTCACCAGCAGCATCAGATCCAGATTCAGCAGGCAAAACACCAGCACCCATTGAAATTTTCTCCACAGCTTTCAGTATATCCCATTCCTTTGGTCCACATTCTCTTCTTGTAGCAAACCCACATTTCTTCCCATTACAGTACGTCCTCCATACTGGTTCTTCAAGCAATCTCCCAGCTTTCTTCCCTTCTTCCTTCTTCTCCCTGTCACATTCCAGAGCGATTCGAACTAACCCAGATGCCATTTCACGAACAAGACCACTAATTGGTGTGGCAAGCTCGATCAAGAAGGCTGGCTGTGAAGTGGGTTCCTTTTGGAATGCGAAATGTACATGGCCACGTCGATAGCCGAAGAGGGTTCCTACAACTCTGGGACCTAGGCCAAAGGGCAGGCTCGAACGGTTCTTACCAAACTTGGTGAGAATGGATCGAAGCCTTGAGATTGCAATGGCTTGAAGCTTCCGTCTTGATACTGCCGCTTGTTGTGATGTAGCTGCTGATCCTGGATTCTTGTCATTATCCTCCTTGATTTCCTCTTCCTCAATCATTTTTAAGATTGATTCTGAAGTGGGAGCTTCAGATTCTTCATCACCGACCTTTTTTGTCCAGTGGAAGTGCCTCTTGGAGGAGAAATCTTGGGACGTTCTAGCAGCCATGTCTGTCTTCATCTGAGAAAGAAAAGAAAAAAACTCCTATTAAATATATGAAAGGGTGGGGAAAGAATCTGGTTTCTTCTGCTTTTATTGATATGGAGGGTGCTTTAATTAATTCTCTGTTTCTAGACCTTTGGTGTAAATGCAAGAGAATCCTGACAAAAGAAACATGGGCAGTCCCACCAGCTGATATAGGAAATCAGACACAGAGCGATGGAGGGGTGGGATAGAGTGCATTTCAAATAGGAAAAAAAGAAAGGAATCTAAGGAGACAATGTGTTTGTTGTTTCACTTTCTTGTGGGGCAGAGAGAGAAGGATTGTGCTTGACTATCTCTTTTGACTTGACATCCAAAACGGTAAAAAAAATATATAAAAAAAATAAAAGCCAAAACAAACAAAATACAAAGCCATCACTATTGAAACTCGACATGCCCTCACATATCCTCCTGCATCATGTCTTCTAGTGCTGGACGTGCACCCTCATGACATCATCCAATTGTGAGTCCCATGGAATATGTTGGATGCAGAGTCTACATTGCACCTACCTACGAACTGACAGCCCCAGTGTATTTCATTGCTCATTCATGGGCCCCCACCACCAGTTCTCTCTTCTATTTACTTACTCGGCACTAATCCCTCGAGCTAATAATGTGTTTAACTGGCTCAGTCCTATTGAGTGCGTTTCGTAAGTTGAGCAATTGACTCTATACCCATTAATGTGGAGGACTCTTAGCAGCCTTTAGAGGCTCTTGAGGCACTAAATATCATTTGCTTCTTTCTTGTTTGGATCAGCCTACCAATATTTGAGGGGCTGGAAAATAGTTGGGATAGTAGGCTCCATGTTTAGATTACTTTTTCACTCAACCGTGTTTAAAACTACGAGTTCATAACTTCAATTTGTTCATAAACTCTAATTGGTTCATAACCTCAATTTTACAAACATTAATCCAAATATCCAGTCGCTTCCCCCAAATCCTACAATCATCAATTTTAATAACAGAACCCGGTCGTCAGAATGTATTAAAAGCCCGTTTGAAACACCTTATAAATAGCTTATAAATAACTTTTCAATAATAATTTACAGAATACGAGGCCAGTATGTGAGAGGAGTTTTGTCTTAATTTGTGTGAAATGTGCTTATAGGGGATTTTTTAAACCTTTCCAAATAAGCCCCAAATCATCTAATTGTGTCAAGCTGATGTTCATAGGTGAGAGGATGCAAGAGATGAAGCAGAATAGTCACACGTAATAATCAATAAAGGTGGGTTTTCATGAACCCTCACTACTTACATTAACTTCCAAATATGCGGTTTCATAGGGTTCAAACAACTAGCACATCTGCCCAGGGCAGGCGAGTTAGCACATGCTTTTTTGTACATAGTGGAACTACTGAGAAGCAGAGATATGCTTTGCCTATACTTGAAGAAAAATAAATTTATCCTGATAAAAATTAGCTATCTAAAGTTTGGTCAGCATCTGGCTGCTTGGAAGCAACGGCCCCACCGTTCATCCTAGCACGCGCCTCTGCAAACATCCTTTGCTGCTCCAGCAATGCTTCCTCCTCAGTCATATCGGCTCCATTGCTCCACTTGCCAGCTCTTAAAGAGTCCTGCTGCGTAAGGCAACCAAAATCAATAAAATAATTTTATTTTCCTTTCAAGTTAAAACGCAAGCAAAAACAGTGGTCCATAATTAACTTTTCCATTTTAACTGGCCAGTATTAAACGTGTCCTTCCCCCACCTCCCATAGGGACCAGTAGTGACGTATAGAAGGAAAACAAGCTATGGACAGAAACTCTGAGCATTCTTGTCATGAAATTCAGACCACTAATCGACCAAACATCATACTGATGTCGCAAGCACAGAACACTCGATTCGATTTAAAAATTTAAATAGCATCTAGTTTAAGGTTTTTCTTTTTCTTTTTCAAATATAGCTACGGCCGCATGCATAGGTGGACCATAAAGATTACTAGAGATTTCATGGGTGAGATTGATTGATTTTTGCAGCCAAACAATGCGTGTGCAGTGATCTCAGGTATCATACCGAAATAACCTGTGGAAAATCCTAGATGTCAGCCCCGCTTTGAATGGCTGGGGCCCTTCTTTAGGGAACCGTCCACCAGGCTGCGAGTGCCCCCTTAAGATAATCACCCTAGGTGGACCCGGATTTGATAATACAAATTCCGCTTCCATTAGGATGGTATGAACAAGGCCAACTCCAGATTTTCATGGTCTTTTGATAACAAAGCTCACCCACAAAGAAAGAGCGGGGGCAATCAAAAAAGATATACTATTGAAAAGTCAATTATATCATTCTAACAATTCAGAAGAAGCAGGAGCATTGAAAGGAAACAAAATACCATGGTCTCGATCCTATGCTGCTCATATGCTGCGTAAACTTCCTCAATGTACTCACTAAATCCAAGAACCTGAATAGAGCAGGTGTAAGTCAATAAAAAATGTTTCAGCCGCGTCAGTAAATATATAATCTAACCAATCTTCACCAAATATCAACCATTACAAACAAAACGGAAAGCCACTTCTATAAACGTTAATAACATGATAAAGTATATTCAGAAGCCAAATGACAGCACAGGATACATTTATCCTTGAGAAAAGTAAAAATTGGCTGCCATTTGCCACAGAACCACAACAAAGAGAAAGAAATATAAAAACCAACACGGTCACTTTAAAAAGATACATAGGCATAAACAGAACAACAGGATACACTAGGATATAAATCAAAGCAGAAACACACATGGCTTGAGCAATGCGTTAGGCAGATAAGTAACCTGTAAAGCCTTCAATACATGCTCTGGTGCAATTGTCCGTTTATCCTCTCTATTACAGACTTCATTGGACTCTGATGATACAAGGTTTATGAACTCTACAAAAATATAGATCAACCGACAAAATCATATTCAGTAATAAAATTGAAACCTAAAAGAGAATTCAAGCAACGCAACATTTTTTTTAAAGTCGATAAGCATGGAAGTGCTAAGAAGAAAGAGAAGACAGCATGAGAATAACTTCAACATGTTCGTATTTGTAATACATAAGACAGCAGAGTTAAAAGAGTGTTTACTAAATTTACAAAGTAGGCACCCGACAAAAACTCACAAACGAATAACATGATGGGAATTTTGCATATTCATGACCAAATTAAGAATAAGAAGTTCATCAACTAATGCTCCCAAAATATCTGCTAAAATTTGCCTTCGACAATCATGAGTAACACGTGATAGAGAAAATCATCAAAATATAGGTCGAACAAATAAAGCAGAAGTAACAGCTTCATTAACGAAAAAAAGGAAGTAACAGCTAAAATTTAAGAAGCAATCAAGGGAAAGAAAATGAAATAAGGAAGTGTAGGGAGTCCCTGGGTTAATAAAGATTTTGTTTGATAATGAAATCACCAAAAGTTACATAACACTTCTCACCTACACAGCATTCAATCAATAGATCTTGTGCATCTCTTGCGACACGTACATCAGGGGGTAGCATCTCTTTAATAATTTTTGTCATAGTTGCTGCGGGGAAAAAAAAATTGTTTCGGCAAGTGAGCAAAGCCACGAGGCATTAACGATAAACTTACAAAGGAAATCATTCGGGCCTTAGGTCCCATCAAAATTAAAGAAACCAGACACCACCATCATTAGCAGCAATAACCTAAACAGTAGTTAGTAATAGTCAGGAAAAAGCGAAACATCAACAGTACAAGATCCTAGTTCAAAGTAAGAAATATAAATCCAGCTAAGTATGGCTTGTTGATGTCAACTCGTTAACCAGAAATAAAAGTTCGCCATTTATGCTCTCTCTTAACATCCAGTTTAAGTAAGGCCACATTCGGTTATTCCGGCAAAACAAAATCAACGATTTTGAATTTCAATTTAAAATTAAAAGTATCATAAAGATGTCTCAGAAATATAGATGTATATGGAATATCTTGATTTTTAAATTCAGTCATCTGGATCTTCTGGAGTTAGTGGAGCAGGTTAATTCAAAGTAATATCGGGCGAACAGGTTCTTGCGCATAAGCCCAAATGATTGTGTTTCTAAAATAATCAATTTTCCAATCTCAAAGTCATCTTGTCCATCCAAACAATTTCAATGTTAAGTTAGGGAAGAACAAATTTAGATCAACAACAAATAAAATTCACAAAATAGGGTAAAATTACCTTTAGGAAGGGAAGCGTCTTCCTTTGATTTCCCCACGATGTCCATCGAATCCATATTGTAACCTTAAATCAAATTACACCAACCGTTAAGAGTTACTGCACAGATATTCACATCTGAAGAGAGGACAAAAGGCAGGAAGAGAAAAGTACAGATCTAAACAAAGCACCGAATAAGGATGAGAAAAAAGAAGCAAATCACCGATTTACCAGGGCGAATCGAGGAGAGGAACCCAAATTTGTCAAAGAGGGAACAGATGACAAGTCAACCGATCGAAGATCCGAGTTGCAGTAAGATCAGAAACAGAAGGAGGGAGGACATCGTTGATATATGGATTTATCAGAGATGGACATGACGGTCTGGATAACAGATCAAGTTCTCGCTCGCATGCGAATACGGCGACTACAGTTCTGGAGCGCGTTATCCCCGGCTTCTTTCACGCGCTAAAGAAGCGCGTGGGAGGTGATAAAAGATCCGAACCTTTACCGGATAGGGCGGATCCGTTATCGTTACCCACTATTATTGATATAAAATATAGATTTGCGTGATTTAAAATAAAATAAATCCGAAAAATATCAGGTTGCTGGAGCCTGGAAAATCCCATTAAAGAGTTAATTGCCCGCTCTGTGAAATTTGTTTAAGATGTCTTTGCATGGATAATGTTTGAGTGTAAAATGAGTAAATTGTCCTTAGTGACTTAAAATGGAAAAAATAATTCAAGGGAAATTTTCCTAAAACTATAAAATCACCAATTTGCGCTTAATGACATGAAATATAAAAAAATTATTACCTCATGTCTTTAATATAAAATACAATTAACTAGTTTAGAAAAATTAATGAAATTAAATAAAGATACAATTTATTTAGCCTTCTTAAGTTATTAACTCCTGTCTTTAATATAAAATACAATTTATTCAACTTTTTAATTTTTTTAAATTAATTTTTATATTAAGAAGCCGGGTTAGCATAAAAAAATCTATGAAATAAGGGCAATAACCAACAACAAGGTGTGTACATGTGTTTTTACGAAAACATCATTGCATATTTTAAAACTTTTGTGTGAAACAGAGGTTTTTCTCTGATGATGTTGAGATTTAATTTATATTAGAAAGTTATGATTACAAACACCAAAGTAAGGTGCATAGCAAGTTAGAATATCTTTTTTGCACATAATGGAGTTTTCTTGCACATTCGAAACTTTCTGACACATTGTTGAAGCTTTTTGTTTAGTTGGCAGAACATCTTTTACCAATTTGGTAGAAATTCTCTAAACCAGGGCACAGAGAAGATTGTTTGGTCATTGTTTTGAATCTCAGATAATAACGATAATCTATATCCATCAGCAAGTTTATTATAAGCACCCAACTCTTCTCGTTTATCATCAACATTAAAAATCCAAAAGGTGGTTGACAATATGGAATCAGCCACATGTTCATCATAAAATTGAAGCGACAATTAATTGTCTATCCCATGTGCCTCCGAGGAAATACCCCACATTCTTCTTGATCGCATCATAAAGCAATATTTAGTCATTAAAACCAAAGCAAAAAGAGAATTACCATTTGCAGTAAGCAGCCTCCATATTGTCAGAATAATTCAGATAAAAGCAGGGTTTGGAAGAAAGGGTTGGAAAACTTTTGCCATGTCCTGAAGAAGGATGTCGCTTTACGTATCAGAAATCAAGTAGCTAAAGAAGCCCTTGTGTTGCCAGTTGCAGGTGAAGGCGTGGACTATTTTACATGGTGCTGCTTCAATTCTACCATCTTAGATGACCTTAGTTTTTGAAATAAAGATATTTTCCCCCCTTACAGAGACAAGCAAAGCCTGAATTATAAAATTTAGGACTACGTCCTATAGTAAACGCACAAAAACTTGGCAAATGTGTTTCTTGTCTTCCAGGAACATTCCATTCGTCCCGGATAAATCATTATGACCTCACCGAGCCCAATAATCAGCATACCAGATAGCATCCAGAAACTTGACATGCCCTATGATACCCTCCTTCATCATGTCTCCTACTGCTGGACGTGCACCTTCATGACATCATCCAGAGTGTACGTTGCACCTACCTACGAACTTGACAGCCCTAGTGTATTCATTGTTCATTAATGGGGCCCCTCCACCAGTTCTCTCTTCTATTTACTTACTCGGCACTAGTCTCTCAACTTAACGTCTTTAACTTGCTCAGACGTAAGAGTTTCGCAAGGTGAGCAATTGACTATATACCCATCAATTTGGAAGACCCTTAAGAGCCTTTAGAGGCTCTTGAGGCACTAAATATCATTTGCTTCTTTCTTGTTTGGATCAGCCTACCAATATTTGAGGGGTTGGAAAATAGTTGGGCAGTTGTCTATATGTTTGGATTACCTTTTCACTCAACCGCGTTTAAAACTATAAGTTAGATTAGAAACGACTTGGATTAACCATTCGCTCAGACTCCGATTTTCAAGCTCTAATTTGTTCAAACTTCAATTTTACAAACATTAATCCAAATATCAAATCGCTTCCCCCAAATCCTATAGTCATCAATTTTAATAGGAAAAACAGAGCCCGGTCGTCTGCATGTATTAAATCATCTAATTGTGTCAAGCTGATGTTGTTGATAGGTGAGAGGATGCAAGAGATGAAGCAGAATAGTCACACGTAATTATCAATAAAGGTGGGTTTTCATGAACCCTCACTACTTACGTTAGCTTCCAAATATACGGTTTCATAGGGTTCAAATAACTAGCACATCTGCCTAGGGCAGGCGAGTTAGCACACGTTTTTTTGTACATAGTGGAACTACTGAGAAGCAGAGATATGCTTTGCCTATACTTGAAGAAAAATAAATTTATCCTGATAAAAGTTAGCTATCTAAAGTTTGGTCAGCATCTGGCTGCTTGGAAGCAACGGCCCCACCGTTCATCCTAGCACGCGCCTCTGCAAACATCCTTTGCTGCTCCAGCAATGCTTCCTCCTCAGTCATATCGGCTCCATTACTCAACTTGCCAGCTCTTAAAGAGTCCTGCTGCGTAAGGCAACCAAAATCAATAAAATAATTTTATTTTCCTTTCAAGTTAAAACGCAAGCAAAAACGGTGGTCCATAATTAACTTCTCCATTTTAACTGGCCAGTATTAAATGTGTCTTTCCCCCACCTCCCATAGGGAGCAGTAGTGACGTATACGAGGAAAACAAGCTATGGATAGAAACACCGGGAATTTTCTTGTCATGAAATTCAGACCATTAATCGACCAAACATCAAACTGATATCGCAACCACAGAACACTCGATTCAATTAAATATCATCATAGTTTTAAATATCAATTTAAAATTTTCAATATCATCATAGTTTGAAGGTTTTTTCTTTTTTCTTTTTCAAATATAGCTACTGCCGCAAGCATAGGTGGACCATAAAGATTACTAGAGATTTCATGGGTGACATTGATTTTTGCAGCCAAACAATGCATGGGCAGTTATCTCAGGTATCATACCGAAATACCCTGTGGAAAATCCTAGATGTCAGCCCCACTTTGAGTGGCTGCGGCCCTTCTTTAGGGAACCGTCCACCAGGCTGCGAGTGCCCCCTTAAGATAATCACCCTAGTTGGCCCCGGATTTGATAATACAAATTCCGCTTCCATTAGGATTGTATGAACAAGGCCAACTCCAGATTTTCATGGTCTTTTGATAACAATGCTCACCCACAAAGAAAGAGCGGGGGCAATCAAAAGAGATATACTATTGAAAAGTCAATTATATCATTCTAACAATTCAGAAGAAGCAGGGCATTGAAAGTAAACAAAATACCATGGTCTCAATCCTATGCTGCTCATATGCTGCGTAAACTTCCTCAATGTACTCACTAAATCCAAGAACCTGAATAGAGCAGGTGTAAGTCAATAAAAATGGTTTCAGCCACGTCAGTAAACACATAATCCAACCAATCTTCACAATTTCACACAAATATAATTGTGATTATGTAGAACAAACTTGCTAGTAAGGATGGAGCAGGGATTAAAGAGGAAGCAAAAAAGGGTGTCTAATTAAGAGATTATCCTTACAAGAAACATAGATCTAATCGTAGACAATAATGCAGCAATTGAATAGAAAAGAATAGAGTGGGGTCAAAGAAGATAACAATGCAACAAATTATAACCAAACCACTTTTTTCTTCTAGAAAGAAAATTAATTAAAGAGAGAAAAAATGAAATTGCCCTTGATCCTATCAAGTAATGACATAACTTCCATAAGCTGCGTCAATAAAACCTATTATCCAATGGTGATCTTCGTGTTAGAGATGAAGCTATATGGCGTTTATCCCACTCCACTTCAACTAACGATACATGACCATTTATGATCATGTGCCCTTAAAAGGGTTTATCGCCCATCATATTCAGAAGCTATGTGGTGTTTATCCCACTCCAATTCAAGTAACAATACATGACCATTAATGATCATGTGCCCTTCCAAGGGTTTAACGCCCATCATATTCACCAAATATCAACCATTACACACAAAATGGAAAGCCACTTCTATAACCTGTACGTTAATAACATGATAAAGTATATTAAAAAAGAAGATAAATGACAGCACAGGATACATTTATCCTTGAGAAAAGTAAAAACTGGCTGCCATTTGCCACAGAACCACAACAAAGAGAAAGAAGTATAAAAACCAATACGGTCATGTTAAAAAAGATACATAGGCAGAAACAGAACAACGGGATACACTAGGATATAAATCAAAGCAGAAACACATATGGCTTGAGCAATGCGTTAGGCAGATAAATAACCTGTAAAGCCTTCAATACATGCTCTGGTGCAATTGTCCGTTTATCCTCTCTATTACAGACATCATTGGACTCTGATGATACAAGGTTTATGAACTCTACAAAAATATAGATCAACCAACAAAATCATATTCAGTAATACAATTGAAACCCAAAAGTCAGAAGATTCAAGCAACTCAACATTTTTTTAAGTCGATAAGCATGAAAGTGCTAAGAAGAAAGAGAAGACAGCATAAGAATAACTTCAACATGTTCGTATTTGCAATACATAACACAGCAGAGTTAAAAGAGGGTTTACTAAATTTACAACATAGGCACCCAACAAAAACTCAAACGAATAACATGATGGGAATTTTGCATATTCATGACCAACTTTAGAATAACAAGTTCATCAACTAATGCTCCCAAAACATCTGCGACAGTTTGCCTTCTACAATCATGAGTAACATGTCATAGACAAATCATTAAAATACAGGTCGAACAAACAAAGGAGAAGTAACAGCTTAGGAAAAAAAAAAAGAAGGAAGTAACAGCTAAAATTTAAGAAGCAATCAAGGGCAAGAAAACGAAATAAGGAAGTGTAAGGAGTCTCTGGGTTAATAAAGATTTTGTTTGATAAT